ATTACCAGGGCAGAACCAGGGCAGGGCAGGGTCAGCAACATGTCATACCTGTGGCAGGTTCAGAGACAATGCTGGGCCAAGAGGGGCCTGGGCCAAGCAAGCATACGGTGAGTCCAGTGCCAAGGCACAGCCAGTGGGGGCCAAGGCATTGCCAGGGCCACCATAGGGCCAGGTCAAGGCTGGGTCAGGGATAGAGCCAGACAAAGGGCAGGGCCAGGGAGGTTCTAGGGTAAAGGCAGGGCCAGTGCAGCATGAGAACAAGGCAAAGGCAGGGCCATTGCAGGATACAAACAGTGTAGGGCCAGTGCAGAGGTAGCACAGGGCATGGCTAAAAGCAGGTGAGGGCCATAGTAGGGGCAGTGCTAGAAACAGGGTTAGGGAAAGCACTGGGCACAGCATGGCAGGGACAGGGCAGAGGAGGTCAGGGCCAGGACCAGGTCATGGACAGAGGAGAAAAGATGTAAGACCAAGGCAACTTTGAGGAGAAGGCAGGGCCAGGGCCATGGCAGAGCCAGGCTAGAACAGGACCAATGCAAGGCCAATGCAGGTTGAGGGCAAGACCAGAGCACAGAAGAGCAGGGCCATGGTGGGTTAGTGCCTGGACAAGCATAGGGCCAGGCCCAGGAATATTGCAGGACCAGGGCCAGGGCAAGGGCCAGTGCAGGACCAGAGCCAGGCCATAGAGAGGGCAGAGCAAGTGCCAAGGCAGGGCCAGGTAGTTCCAGGGTTGAGTGACACTGAATCCTAAGTGCTAGGGCTGAGGCAGGGTCAGGGAAAATCCAGGGCTGAGTCAAGGTTACATCAAAGACAAGCCCAAAGAAAGATCAAGGATATTCAGGGCCAGGGAACAACTAGGGCAGGGTCAGGCAGGGCAGTGGAAGGGTCAGTGCATGGCAGGATCAGGTCAGTGCTGTGACAAGGCAGAGCCAGCCCAGGATAGCACAGGACAAAGGCAGGGCTGGTCCAATGAAGGGATAAGGTCAAGGCAAAGAAAGAGCAGCACCAGGGCCATGGCAGGACCAGCAACAGGGCTAGGGCTGGGAAAGTGACAGGGCCAGGATGGAGGCTCGGGCCAGAACAGCACATCAGAGTAGGGCCTGGCAAATAAGAGCCAGGACAGGGTCAGGATCCATGATAAGTCCATGACCAGGTCTAGGACAAAGCTGAAGAAGTGCTATGACAGGGCCAGCGCCATGGCAGTACCAGGGTCAGGAGCAGGGGTCAGGCCTGGTTTAGGGACAGGGTGAGGTCCAAAGCAGGGCAGGGCAAAGGGGCAAGAACAGGACCAGAGCGAGATCAGGGACAGGGCAGGACTAGGATAGCACAGGGCCAGGGGCCAGGCCACACCCAAGGCTAGGCCAGGAACAGGGCCAGAGCAAGGGTAGGGCCACTGAGAAGGCAGGACTAGCGAGAGACCAGAGCAGGAGCAGGGCTAGGGCATTCCAGAACCAGGACAAAGCAAAGGCAGGTACAGGGAAGGCCAAGACCAGGTT